ACAGAAAGGAAATTGTGGGCCGAATTCTTTATCACACCAAAAGCAACATGTTATTTGGCTCATCCTTGGCGGTGGATGTCAGAGACAAGATTTCTATGGTCGATGCAATTCAGTTCGTTTCAAAAAGTTGGAGACAGGTCACCAGTGCAACATTAAAAACTTGCTTTCTGTATGCTGACTTCCGTCGACTGTCACCCGACGCACTTTCTGATGACGCCGTCTTCACTGATTAGGAAATAAGTGCTTACACAAGCCCAGTCATCAATGCAGTCGAGTTCCTTGTCATTGACAACAACGTGGAATGTACCTCAGATCTGACTACTTTTGAAAATGTAATCTGCAGTAAAAATTTCAGGGAACAGACTAGAACAGAAAGAAGGCAGCGACTGAGAGGATGACGTGCCGGATGCTTACGTGAGTAACAACAATCAGTGCGTGTCGCATTCAAGAGCAAAGAATTGTGTGATTGATCTGTATAACTACGGACTTTTCCATAGGCTAGTCAACAATTCCTAGTCCCAATTGGACTTCATCAGGGCAAAAGTGGCTGGAGTAGCAGCTCAAGCTAGTGTACAGTTGACTTTGGATTGTTTTCTCAGCACAAACGGACGAAGAGTGGTAAACATTTGGAACAGTTTACCTGAACATGTGATGGAGGCAATATCTGTGCAGTATATCAAAATGTTGTTAGATTTATATTTTATCACTATTCGATTCAGAGAACGATTGCACGCTTACGATGACGGATCACATTCGTGAGTCCTGAAATATGGTGAGTCAGCTATTTTAAATGTTACATAAGAACGACAATGATATTCACGGTTGACAACTTTTGTAACGTTTTTCACCATATTTCGAAAGCGTTGTACAGAATTCATTTTTACTTGCTCCATAATACAGTATTCAGTATAAAGTAGAGCCAGTTTCTGTAGCAATGCAAGTAAAATGCTTGGTTATAAATTTTAAACTATTGTCCATGCTCTGAATAAAGGTCTTTTGTAGGCTTTACTTACTAGTAGGTATTTTATCATTCTTAGCACGCTACAATGCATGTAACAATGTACAATAATTCAATGGTTGTTTTCTTTTTGGAAATAGTCGCAGTATCGGTTAATTGCCAACCCGCTTTATGGCGCACTTTAGAACTATCTCGGATTCGACTGTATTATTTTCTCGTCAGTTATTTTGATTTGAATTTTCGCGCTACAGACTGGTGGAACGCTACCGACTGCCACAGACTCTCGCCGGTAGCGTTCCATCTTTCTGCCAGTTGAATGGAGATAAAGGAAGGGCTTTGTATAAAATATGGTGTGCAAATACATTTAATTGATCATTAGAATATGAACAACAATTTACTGCGATAGGTTTTCATCGAATTATCAAGAACACAATGTTTGCATTTTAATGAACCATTATTAGCATTTCATGTATCAGAAACTTTATTGCGTCCCGCCGTACTGCATAATTGTTGGTTGTTGGAACGCAGCTTATATACGCATTAAGTTGTATGCAGTCATATCCACATACATATTTCCCGTTGGCAGTCGTTCAGTCATCAGGTACTCCAGATGGTGTTATCTTCTCCTATCGCAACGGAGCACATGTTTTCTTGCACAAACCAAGTTGTTTTCACATAGTTGTAGGCACACTGCACCATTTCAAAGTTAGGTCATCATTATCATAAATACACGTTAGCTGAGGGTGATGAACACATCTCAGCCAATGTGCCGGAATAAAAAATTTAAAATACTGAACATCAAAGAATGCAAAAACTATATGTACAACAAGTGCTCTAACGCTAAATATTATATTATGCGGTTGATATGAGATTGTTGCTAGAAGGGGAAGCTAAGCGGGATGGGGAGGGACAAAGAAACTCATGACTCAAACGCCACTGAGGTCAACACTTTCCCATCTCAACTACTGTATTCAAGCAAACTTGATTATCATGCGCAAACTCCAACCCAGCAGAAAAGGAACTGAAGCCGAAGCCAAGTTCGAACTGTGGGTTTTCTTTGCTGTCTACCAGGTTATCATTCGGCCTCCCCTCCTCCTCCTCTTCCATCCACATCCCGGCCGCATGAACAGCTCACGTCGCATGAGTCGGTATGTTGGCATGCGGAACCCGTGGTCCAGCCATCGGAGCCTGGCGCATGATATATTGGTACTGACCGGTTCACTAGCTCTTTCTGCATCAAATAAACCACGCTGAACATGCTCACTGTCCCCGCAGTGCCCCCACACCAGATGTGAGCTAATCTGCTAAGGCAGTGGTGATCGAATGTGACTAGCCTCTTTAGGTCTGTCGGCCTTATGGACCCGGTTTCGCAAACGTACAGGAGGATTAAACGCACGGCTGCGTTGTAACACTGCTTTTCAGGGTGAGAATGATGTCGCGCCGGCACCCCTGGTAGCGGAGATGGACAAAAGCGCCCCGAGACTTTGCTTTTTTGCTCGTGATCTCGGTTTCTATTCCATAGGCGAAAATATAGCTTAACTAACACAGTGAGAAGACGAACGCTGGGAGATGCGCGTATTTTGTATTGTCTAAGTAGTACCGAAACAATAACAAGCAATCCTTATACCGTTCAAAGGGTGTTACCAACCAGTCAAAGTAGTGAGCTTAGCGGCGGCAATAGTCCTAAGACCACGGCAACCGAAAGCCAACCTCTGTTTCTGTACACACAGGGTAGGTTTTAACTGTCTCGGCAAACCGCATGAAATGTGGATTGAGATGACTTCCTCAGATCGACTCCGGCTCCGTGCTTCGGATATTATTATGTCATTCCAATTCACGCTTCTTGCGGTTTGTCGAGGCAGTGGCGATAAGCCAGCTAAGAGCTGCGCTGTGTGTGTAGAAATAATCAGTGGTTGACCAACGCCTCCACTCACCAACTATATTTGATTAGTTGGTAACACCGTTTGAACGGTAGACGATAATTTCTTGTCATTCTTTTGGTATTGATGAGACAATACGAATGCGCGCACCTACCAGCGTTCTTCTATTCACTTTGTTATTTAATATATGGAAGGGAACTAATTGTTTTAGATAATATAGATGCCTAGATATTTGTAGTTTTGAACGAGTTTTAGCCGAACCACACCAAGGATCAGCGCAGGAGGCCGTCCCTGCCAACTTGGGAGAAAGTTTTATTTCGGGAGTGCAAATCATAGCCCGAAACGATTGACAGCCCGTGCTAATTCGTCCAAGTCTGCTTGGCACATTTGGGAGCTGTCACATAGTAGGCTAATGTCGTCGGCGTATTCCAAGTCATAAAGGCGTTCACCAGCAAGTAGTTCCACACTTTCTAGGTCATATCCAGCGAATGCTGTTTCCGTGACTTCGTCAATGGCGAAGTTAAAGAGGATAGGTGCTAGCTGGCAACTTTGCCTCACCACGCTAGAGATATTGAAGGGCGGCTAGAGTTTGCCAGTAACCCTCACTCTGCCCGAACTATGAGCATACAAGGCCCTTATAACACTTACATATTTAGGAGCACACCTCATCTGGGCAGGCATTTCCCAAGAGCACATCGTTACACCGAATCGAAGGCACGTTTGATGTCGTAGAACACGAGTAGGGTGCATTACAAATAAGCATGGCGGTGTTCCAACAACCGACCTAAAGTAAAGATAGGGTTAAAGCAGCCGCAATTTCGACAAATCCTTGTGAATCTGGCTTCGACGGGTGCTAGCCAGTCTGTGGCCAATAACAGACGCAAACGGTTTAGAATTGAGATCAGACTGATTCCTGTACGATTGCCATATTCCAAACTTGGGACTGTTTTGAAAAGTGCAACTATGACAGAGCAGCCCGTCTGTTACGACCGTCTCCTGGTTGCACAGCTTCCCCGGCAAGCTTTTCTATAGAAATGCACCTATTAAAGGTACAAAACATGTACCTCAATCGAGCTAGCAATGAGCCTCTGATTTTTGTGATCATCGTTACCTGTAGCCCTATGGAGTAGGGGTACATGCTTACGTCAACAGTCTATACGTCCCAAGGCTGAGGCACAGTTTTGCATCCTTAACTGATGGATACAAACATGCTGGCAACTGGTCATGGGGGCAGTGTAATAGAACAACAAATCCATTATTCTTTTAAATTTTTCGACCTTTCCGCTTGTTTATGAGAGGACACCGCGTTCCCATACTTCAGTAGAAGGCTTGAGAGTTTAACCAAGCAGCATTCAGCGTACACGTTAGCTAGAGGTGGAAAACGCCCCAGCTATTGTGCCGCAATACATACAAGAAGGAGAAAACGCGCAACTGAGGTACGCCTGCTTAGCCATCAGTAATGGATGGGAAACGTAGCGGAGAACTAGCAGCCGACTACTGGGCCATAAATATTTATATTGTTGTTAGAAAGCAGATCGATTTTGGTGGGGAAGCACAGTTTGAGGGGTAGGGACAAAGAAACGCGCAACACAAGCGCCACTGAGGTCACCACATAGCCACCTCGGCAAGTGTATCCAGCCACGTGAGTTCATCGTCTTTCCGACCACAACTAGTTGGTCTAGAAGCTTCAACCGAGGCCAAAGTTGAACTAAAGCCTTTCGTTCCTCTTGTCCAAGTCATCGCTTGGGCACCGCTCCTCTTCTTCCATCCATACCCTCGGGGCGCAAACAACGTGCGTCACGGGAGTCGGTGAGCTGGCATGCGCAACCCGTGGTCCAGTTATCGGAACCTGGTGCGTGAAAAAACCAAGGGGCTGAGCGGTTTGTTTCTGCTTCCTGTGCCATAAACAAGGCGTCGAACACGTTCCTTGCTCACAAGGTGTTCTCACTAGATGTCAGGTAAGCTGTGAAGACAATGATGGTCGAACTTAACTAGCCTCTTTACATATACCGATCTAATTGGCCAGGTTTCACGACCATACAGCTAGTCTTTTTCTATCGGAGTTCCATCAGGCTCTAGCTGATTTGTGATTTTAACCAATACAGTGTGGCGCTTACCAAGCAACTTTTGTTGCCTTTCCACTCTTCTCATGCAACCACCAGTACGCGTGTTCCATAAATTCCAACCCGAACAAGTGGATGTTGGTCGGTTTCGACTGCAGCTTGATGTGGTAAGTGCTCGTGTCTGTTTTATGTCTGTTTTAACCCTCGCACTTAAGGAGTTAAAAACAGTATCTATGTTATCATGCTGATTAAGTAAGTTGAACGGGGATATTATGGGTAGCGATAAGATTCCGTTAGCAAGATGGCGTGCATTTGGTAGTGAGGTTTAGAGGTTGTACCTTCGTTATCCCTATCGAGGTATACGCTAACGGTGACTATTCAGCAGACAAATCACACTTTCTGCGCTGTAGTCAGTAAACTCGTCGTCCGTGACAGACGAACATACTAGTGTAGCTATACATAATAATATAATAAATTCAACCTTCAGTCAGACTCTTCACTACTAAGTCTTATGAAGTTCCAAGTTAAAATTGTGGTTCTACTCGCAGCATCTTACGTTTTGGACATGAGCGATTTCTTGGGTTGAATGTACTGCTTGATTGTATCCCATCGAGGCGTTTAAAACCACCGAACCATGGAAAGACTGGCATCCGTTTGCTCCAATCAGAATGGAGATACCAGTGCGTGTGGACACAATGGTCTGTTCTCTATGCATGTCCTGGTTCTGTTTTCAGAGGCTAGGCGTGGCACACAATGGCATTCGCCTCCGTAGTAGGTTTCCTCCTTGCATCGTGAAGACTGATTTAAAGCGGTTCTCTGACAGTTGTAACGGTAAAATTTGCAGCTCACGCATCTGGATATTTCTGCGAAGGCGCATCGGTACCGATTTGTGCACTAAGGTTTAATCCGAGTTTCGAAGTTAAATTGACTGTCACTCTCAATGTGCTTTGGAACACCACTCCCCGAAATCTGCAACATCTAGTTGACCCTAGATTTCCGATTCAGTGTTTTCGTGAACAAACGTCTAGCTCCCATTCTAAGCCTAACACTGTCTTTCATTTTCTGCGCCCAGGGTACGCGACCGCCAAGCTTTAACCAGTTCCATGGCTGTAGACCCCATCTATCTGCAACACAAACATTCAAGTAAGTTTACTTGGTTATTTTCCGTAAATGTGTAATTTGGCCGCTTTAGCTCGATTTGGCTGCCGGCATTCAGCGTCGCACATAGCCAACATACTAGACAGACTGGGCTAGACCGGGGTCTTACATCTTGGTGAACAAGGAGGCTGTGTGATGAATCTAAGACATGCACTGCGTTTAGGAGCACGCTTTCTGATGGTCTGTCTGGCTGAGGCAACCTTGTTGTAAGCCCTATCAAGAAGCATTGTTTTAGTGTTATCTCTTGCGTGAAATTTTATTTAGATGGAACTTGGGAGCGACCTCTTAATATGGGCAGCATCTCGGCTGACCTTTTACTATACGAGTTTGAGGGCAACCTGAGACGCGGTCCTGCGCTCCTTAGAATACGTCATGGTTGCATACTGACAACATCAGACAAAGCAGTACATTAGATTCGTAATCACCTGGGGCGAACAGATTCAGAGATCGCCTGTTAAATCAGGTAATCAGTATGTTCAATATTAAGCCCTTGCATCGTCCCCTAAAGTAGTTGGCAAAATCGGTTGTCTAAAATGAGGACAACGATTTACAGTAAGGAGACTGAGAGTTGCCAAGTTGACCTTCGGGAATCATAAGGAAAAGCTGGTCAGCGTTCACAAATCATTCTCAAGAAGATGCTGGTTATTTATAGAGTACATGCAGTATTCTACTGCAGTCCATTCACTGACTGGCCCTTGTTAACTGGCCTGTGATGGTGGTTACATTTCATTGGTTCGTTCTTCTTCTCTAGACAAGCCGATCCGCGTTGGTCGAGGGCATGGTTACGTTGGACCTCGCTGTTGCCATCCCGGATAGACTGCACGGTGGCGTCCGTTCGTCCATTTAGTTGATGAGCCCACTATTGGCTACTTGTCACAGCTGAGCGTGTTTTTAACAAGCTGATACTGAGGCTGTATTTAAGAGCAGGTAGAAAGATTTCTATACAACTCTATCGAATTATGAAAAATCAAAAACAATTAATTGAGAATCATCAGCGGTTGTGTCTGGTCAGTTAATCGTTTATCCTTGTTCGGTTAGGAATTCGTATTGGTGTCATTATTTCCGGGTATACGATGACTTCTTTTGGCATTGTATTTGCACCGTTTCACAAAAGCGCAGGTTTCCGAAGTAATCGTCGATACGTGTTTTAAAACATTTCGCAGGAACGGCCTCTATTAATCCCATAAGTTTACGATTCTTCGTCAGATACATAGCTGATGTGATACCTTGTTCATGCAGGGGATCCTGAGTTTGTGACGGTGTCTTCAGGTATTACAGGGTTCCCGTAGGTGAAATAGACGTGGCTGTATAGACCATATATTCACTTTGCGGCAGGTGCTAGAGCAGCGCCACGCATACCGCAGACCGACAATAGCTGTGTTCCTCGATTTCAAGAGCGCGTTCGATTCGGTCGATCGATCGATTCTGTTCGAATTACTTGCGCGAAAAGGTGTTCCCACGAAATATGTGAACATCCTTCGTGCTCTATACTCGAACACTACAGGCCGCGTCAGGGTCTATGGTGTCCTATCAGATAGCTTTTCGACTACAAGTGGCGTTCGTCAGGGTTGTCCGATTTCCCCGTTTTTGTTCAATTTCGTCGTGGATTCTATCATGGAGTGTTCCCTTGCGGAATCTCACGATGTAGGTGTTGAAGTGCTGCCTGGTGAACGGTTAGTTGATCTTGATTACGCGGACGATATCGTCTTGCTTTTCGACGATTTTGCGGCGGCACAATCAACCCTGCATAGCCTGTCCAGAGTGGTCCCATTATTTGGTATGCACTTCGCACCTTCAAAGTGTAAAGTGTTGCTGCAGGACCACCAGCCACTTGATGTCCCCTTGACGCTTGCTAACGAGGAACTCGAGGTAGTTGATCATTTCACTTATCTTGGCAGCTGCATCAGCAATGATGGGCGCATAGAAACTGACGTGAGCTCACGCATTGCAAAGGCCAGAGCTGCATTCTTGAACCTGCCTCATCTTTGGCGACAGAAGGGAGTTTCCCTCCGTCTGAAAGGCCGTGTATACAAGGCCACAGTGAGGGCCGTTCGGCTGTATGGTAGTGAAACTAGGCCCCTTCGGTCTGAAGATCTGAGGCGCCTTCAAGTCTTTGATCATCGCTGTTTGCGAAGCATTGCTGGTGTCTGATGGCACCAGCGTATCCCCAAAGATAATGTGCGTAAGCGAGTATTAGGTGATGATAATCATGCTAGCACCTTAGAACAACAGATAGCACTGAATAAGTTGCGTTGGCTCGGGCACGTGCTACGTATGCCTGGTCACCGCTTACCTAGGAGGGCCTTGTTCAGTCTACCAGGTGTAGGATGGCGCAAGGCTCGAGGTGGACAGAAGTTGACTTGGCAGCGGGAAATGAAGTCACTGACAACCAAACTGGGTGCCGTTGGTCCGTCTCGCCTTCCGGGTTGGAGTCCACGTGACTCACCTTGTGCTTAGCTCGACTTTGCAGGACATGGCTCGCAACCGACACCAGTGGCGCGTCTGCTGCCGTCTTCTAATCGGATTGCCTGTTTAAAGTATGTTTGGTTCTGAGTTATCTGCGGGGTAATGGCTGATTATGACGCGTGGCAGTGAAAGCCGCAAGGAAGCTGTCTCGCCGATGACGCCTTATCTTTGCACGATAGCCAGCTGTTTGTGACGGTATGTTGTCTACACAAGGTGAAGGCGCCTTGACCCGGAATGTTTGCTTAGGGCATTAAGGTTTTCAGGTAAGTCCCCCTTTTTCTCCCTCTTCTTATTCTTTATTTCATAGGTCCTTATGGTTGTACGGAAGCGAAGCATCAGTTCGAATGGCTGATGTACTGCTGTTGATGATGATGATGATGATGATGATGATGATGATGATGATGATGATGATGATGATGATGATGATGATGATGATGATGATGATGATGATGATGATGGTGATGATGATGATGATGATGATGATGATGATGATGATGATGATGCTGCTGATGATGATGATGATGTAGGTGAAATATTGGCCGCGGTATGGGGAAGTGATTCAAGTGTAGTACTCGATGGGTCATAATAAGGTCAATTCTTACTCGGCGGTAGGATAGCGTCTAGAGCCCGAGACTTTCACAAAGTTTTTCCTACGGAAGCTTTTGTAGACTCGTTATCATTCTAGTTGTGATGTGCCGTATTTTTTCCAGATTTTCAATTTCCCACTGGGGTATCGGATGGTAAGCTGGGGCACCGTATTCAAGGATTAGTCTAATGAGCGAGGTGAATAGGCGAGGGACGTTTCTTCGGACCATGTGGAGAAAGTGCGTCTTAATGCCCAAAGCATCCGAAGTCCCGCACGACACCATTTCTATGTATTTTCTAGTGATCTCATATCATGTCTCGAGAGCACCCCTAAGTCTCTGACAGATGTGTTGGTGTGGAGCAACTGGCCGTCCAAGGTGTATGATCGAGTGACTTGACGTCTGGTGATACTGATGAACTCCGACTTCCTTGCGTTAAGAGGGAGTTGCATTTCAGTGGACCACGTTGACAATCACTCTAAGTCATGCTGGAGGTGAGCGCAGTCGTCCTGGTTTTCAATGATCCTCCAGATTTCTAAATGATCCGCAAACAGGGCACATGGTAACTGGAGATGCTGCGGAAGATCGTCGATATGAATAAGAAATAATACTGGACCAAGTACAGTTCCTTGAGCCACGCAACTGGTCGATGGGAACCAGTGTGTCAGGTAGTCATGGACCTGTACTCTAAACATTCATCCAACCATAAACTCGTGTAACCACTGAAGTAGAGTGCCACCGATTCCGTAGGTCCTCAGTTTATGAAAAAGTACCTCGTGGTTCACTCTGTTAAACGCCATACTAAAGTCGATGTACACCAAGTCAACATCCTTCCGTTCATTGAGAGCTCGTACCCACTGGTGGTTTGCGTACATCAAGTTGCTGATTCTGGATCGCCCTTTCGTAAAGCCGTGTTGCGCTGACGTCAGTACGTCCATCAATTCGAAGAACGACTGCAGAGACTTTTTCACAATCTTCTCGAGAACTTTGGATAATATCGAAGGAACGCAACGTCGTGATCATAACGTATCTGAGTGTTTTCATCTTTTGACTCTGGTACGTGGAAGACCAAGATATTATGACGCGTCAGCGAAATCGGTGATGAACCTGTGGGAGCAGAACTAGAGGCGCCTATCTGTTTGGGTTGTTGTTTATCAGCAGGGGACGCCTGAACTCGATTCCGCGGCCTCTTGCGCTTTTGAGTGGTTCATGGATCCTCGGTGTTCAGTAGTTCACAGACAGGCTCTGAGAAATTTACAAACCGATCAGTGAAGCGGCATTTCGGAGGTGCCGATTCTGAGTCTTCAACCGGTGGGAAACGTTGTGTCTGAGGCGCGACCTGGGTCGTAGACGCTGGTGGTGGTGCAGATCGCGGAGTGACGAGGGAAGGCCAGATGACAGAGGTACTTTCACAATGGTGTTTGACCCCACGTGGTGAACTGTTTGTTTCTGTCTGGAAGAGAGGCTTTCCCATAGTTGCTGGCGGTCGCTGTATATTCTGATGTTTGGTACCGCGACATTTACCGCATATAACTTGGAAAAACCGATGTCGGATGTCGAGAGACTTTCATAACACGTCAACGGAGAAGTCAATGCAGGCAATATGGAAGTCCAAGTTCAATTTCAAGTGGGACTGGAACGATAGGATGAATCCCGTAAGTATTCCTTCTTGAGCGGGTCGTCGGTCTAGATGTTGATAGAGGTGCTCCGACTTCTTGATGGGTCTAAAAGGAAAACACCCGAAAAAACACCCTGATCCACCAAGTTAATACCCACGTTCCTTACATTAGCTGTCCCAGCTGCGTCAGTTACGTGAAGTAAGTAAGAGAGGAAGAAGAATCGAAGGTAAGAGAGTAGGGGAAGTCAGTTAAAAGAAGAGAATAATACCAATGGCGAGGAAAAGTAAATAAAATAGAATCGAAGTATGAAGATAGG